ATATATATATATATATATATATTTATTTTTTTTTAACACATGTAAGCTTGTGTAAATCACAGCATGTATGACTGAAGGCACACGGGACTCACCCGCTGCTGTTGTTGTGGCTGACCGTAGGGTTGCTGGAGGCGGCAGGTTGGGCGTTGTGTCCTTTGGGTGGAACGGTCATACCTGAAGCACAGCGAGACGTCCGGAACGAGCCATCGACAGGGGTCAGGGCAGAGCAGGGGTCCCTCAGAGCTGTGGAGAAACGAGACGGGTCAGTGGGGTAGCAGTGCCTTAAAAACGAGCGCGGCATCGAGTCCAGGAAACGGCAGGGGAGTAAGTCACGACGGAGCAGGACTCGAACCCCGAGCCTACGGGACAGACCCCAGGAGACCGGGACACGAACGCCCTTCCTCTGAGAGCCACGGACTCTGGGTGAAGCCAGTGCCATGTTGTCTGCTCCACGCTGGATAGCAGAAAACACTGATGGAGAGGAAGACGGTGGGCTTTATAAAGTGGAGAGTGGCTTCTAGAAATCACGCATGTGCCTTCCTCCTCACCTCCCTCCCATCACTGTCCTGTTGAGCCGGAGGATGTTTTGATGCAACAGGCGAGAGTCTGTGTCTCACCGTCTGATTAGTGTGAGTGTATAAACCATCAAGATCTATTATCATCTCCAGAGAGAGCCTGACAGCTAATAAATAAAATAAAAAAAAATAATAATATGTTCTTATTACACATTTTAAATACAAAACTAAATTAATTATTATATCTATTTTTCTATATACCTATATTTTTATGAATAATAAATAGTAATTTATAATAAGAAATATTAATACATTCAGCTTCCAAAATGTACATTTTGAAAAAAAGCTGCATTTATATTTCATAAAATTACAATAAACATGCAGTAATAAAATATTAAATTAATAATAATAATAATAATATTATATATATATAATATTACATATTATTAATGAATACGTATTATATATAATTAAAAATATGAATACATTTAACTTCAAATTAAACAAACATAATAAACTAACTCTACATACATATTAAATAAAATTACAATAAACATAATAACATAATATATGTAACATGTTTTATTATTACAAATTTATAATATTTATATTAATACATTTGAAGAAATATTTACTTTTTTAGCCTATGAAAACACATAACCTAATAATAATAATAATAATTATTATTATTATTAGTAGTAGTAGTAGTAGTAGTAGTAGTAGTAGTATTGTTATTATCATAAAATTAATTTAATAATTTTATATTTTAATGTGCAATTTGTTATGTCAAAAACTAACTTTATTAGCCTATGCATATGTAAATTGCATTACAAAATTAATTTTCTTTATTTTTTAAAATTATTAAATTATGGAAACATTAAATATTGTATTTTTAAATACTTTTTATACATATTTAAACTTTTATTAACTCATCTAGTTTAAAATTTATTAAACATCCATATAAAATGTGAACTTAATTCATTTTATTTTTTTAAATGAACATGAGATAAAAAACTATAGTTCTCAGAAATCAAGCTATCCTATCTCAGCAGCAATATAAACAACGCAGACATAAATGCGGTAAAATTACCAATATTCAGCTGTAGCCCCTTTATGCATTTATAGGAAGATGTGCTTCCAGAAGGCTCTGGATGAAGCAGGACATTTCCAGATGTTTTCCGCTGGGAAGGGAAGCATTACAGGCTTCATCCGCGCTTCTTAAAGCAATTACCACCTCGGCCGCGGTCACAGCGGGAGCTGTTTAACGAGACGTCCAGAGCTCAGGAGTAAATCACAGCACCGCACTACACTAGCAAACCGCAAATCTTCTGTAGACAGAGGGTCATCCGGTTTATTTCATGACACAATCTTACAAAACAAGACGAACAGAATGACTGGGAACGCAGAAGTCACCGTCTTGAAATGCTACTCTACTACCACTACAGTGAATTGTGCAGCTGTCTATTGTGTTCAATCCTCAGCACGAGCAGTAAATCTTGATCAGATTTGTGCGGTAATTAATTGGAGAAGCATGATTAACCTCTTAAGTGCTTCTCTGAGTGCTGGTGAAAACGAGAACAACAGCCAGATGACCTTAATTTGCTATCAGGGGACTCCGATCAGCATCTGCCGCCCAGCGTCCGTTAAACAAAACAAGCTCCTCGTGCACCTGCGAGACTGGACCAAACAGCAGATTAGCAGAAGAAAAACAGAAGAAACTGTTGTTTTTGAGATAATTTACTGGTGCTTATTAACCAGTCGCTTCTCACTTGTAGTACGTTATTATGTTTTGTAATACTGTATCATATGCCAGTGTTGTTATTGTTAAAGGTATAGTTTGCCCAAAAATTAATATTCCGTCATTTATTACTCACCCTCATGTCGTTTCAAACCCGCGCATGCATGCAGGGTCAGAGAGTGCTCAGATTTAATCAAAAATTTCTTAATTTGTGTTACGAAGATGAACGAAGGTCTTACGGGTTTGGAACGACATGAGGGTGAGTAATTAATGACAGTAGGGGTGTGAATAAGCACTGGATTCATGATTCAATTCGATTACAATTATCATGTCAACGATTCGATTCAATTCAATTCGATATCACGATGCCTCACGATTATATCAAATTTATTTTGTGCATTTTTATTAAATTATATAAGCAGGCTACTTCTTAAATTAATTACGTTAATTAATTAATATATTAATTATTGTTAAGAATTAAAGTAAATATAGCTTCAAAATATACAAGCAAATATAACGTAATAAAGGGGGGAAAAGACAATTACAAGTGATAAACAAAAAGCACTTTTAGTAACAAGAGTGCTTTAAGTATTGAAAGTTTACAGATAATCATAGTTATGAGTTTTTCTTTTTTTCTCAGCATTATTGCCATTTGATTATTACTGATGAGATCACACACTGTGGCAGCTTTAATAGACTGCATTCACACTAATGCACAGATCTATAGAGTTCCTGTGGCTCAGTGGTAGAGCATTGCATTAGCAGTGCAAAAGGTTGTGGGTTCAATTCCCAGGGAACAAACATACTGGTAAAAAATTTATAGCCTGAATGCATTGTAAGTCGCTTTGGATAAAAGCGTCTGCTAAATGCATCAATTTATTATTAATTAAATTAAATTAATCTATTTCCACATATCAGATGTTTTGTCCTGTTCTGAAAACATAACTGACAGTGTTTACATCAATTTCGTATCATAAAAGTAGATGCAAGTGCATTTAACTGCAGCCGCGAGCTTCAGGACAAACAAACACAAAGCGCACGTGAAAGTCTGTCTGTGCGGGAGTTTCGTGCATCTAATACGTACTGCATTCCAAACAGCAGAAATGAAAGCGTATCTAAAGTAAAAGACTAAAATAACCGAGTGGAAGCACTGTCAAGCAATACGCACGTGTCTCACAGCGCATATTCTGTGCAATGAAGCCCGCCGCGTTTGTCTCTAGTGCACACACGTGCCATATGCGGGAAAAAGCCAAGCTCCGATTTAAAAATAGAGAGTGTGTATGCGAATGACGTCATAGGCTATAATCGATTATGGTCTATGATTGCATCAATGCAGAATCGTCAACATCCGCATCGCAACACATAAATTAATTTCAACACCCTTATAAATAATAGGCTACTAAAATAAAACTGTTGCACATGCAAGTGAACACACGTCCACTCTCTCACAAACAAAACATTTGGGAAATTCAATTTACTAAATTGATTTGTATCGAGTGACTACTTCAAACGAGCCAATTCAAAAATGATTCACTCGTTTAAAAATTATTCACTGACTCAAAAATGATCTACAGATGCAAAAAAACATTCAAAAATGATTTAGCAATTCAAAAACGATTCACAGATTCATTTGACTCCCAATCCTGATATCTGTGTGACTATTTACAGTTAAATGACAATTTTATAGCATAAATAAACGTAAAAAAATAAGCTTTTTTCTTAAATATACATAATATTTGATCAAACTCTATCATTCATTTCTACGTCTTCTGATTCATTGGTGATATTTAACGTAAATAACTTCAACTTTAGTTTCAATTGCTGTGAAAACAATTCAGATAACATGATTTGAAACCACAGTGTCCCTTAAATAAATGAATGCCCCATTAAACAAATCCAATATTAACCCCCATTACCTTGTAGTGTTTTTAAAACAGCGACTTGACTGCAGTTTAACTACTTTTAGTATCACATACAAACATTTACTACAAAATTGTTTCACAAAGTCTTTGGCATCAGCATGTCATCGGATGAGTAAACAAACACTGATTTGATCATCTACTCAATGAGCATCAAATACAACACACACAAAAAAACTGCTTACCTTGACTATGCGACTGAGCCGCAGCGTTTGATGTCTTCTGCGCCAAGTCTTTTGTCTGCGAAAAACAAACAAACACGTTTTTACTAACACAGAGACCAGCTTAGTTTATCATTTACAACAAACCGCACTCTGCCACTCCTTTGAACAAAGATACACTTTTTTATTTTCTGTAGGAACCCAATTCATTTGATTTAAACAAACAGAGTGAAGTCTGTTCAACAAAGTCTAAATGTGAACGAATCTTACCTTGTTTTTGCTGCTGCACTCGGGCAGCAGGTTCTTGCAGCTCTTGTGGACATTGACGGCGCAGTCTGACGTCCAAACACAGATCACGGTGGAGAGAGGGACAGGTTAGTGCTTTCCTTATCAAAACCAGTTTATCAGACTGTCCCGTAAACTGAATTTGCATGTGAAGGGGAGGACTTGAAGAACAGGGGCGGATGTCGTAACACTACGGGACAGTTGTTTCACAATGCTGCTTTTATTGTAAAAAAAATATCAAAGAAGTAACAGTCAAAATGCACTAATAAATCTGAGAGATATTTGTATTTAAAAGCATAGTGTTTTTCTCCATAACGTTGCAACAAAAAGATCTGATAACGCCAGCAAACCAACAATCTGTGCAGGTTTATCGGGGGTAAAGAGCTTTCAGAAGTGCTTATTATCCATTCAAAAGACCTCTGCCACATCCCTGCAGGCCATTTTCCACTTTTCACCCCGCAAAGTGACCGATTTCATCCATTTAGTCACAAACCTAAATAGAAACACAGCAAACTGAGGCTCTGATCAATGCCTGCTGCTTCACAGGAGCTCCAGAGCAGAAAACACTGACATGTGACAAACTTCATGTTGTGCAACATAACTTTAAGACACTTTATTCCATAGAAACATGAAAACTGGCAAATATGTAACATCCAATAGTCCATGACTATTTGCTTTGAGAGCGTTTATAGAAATGCTAGCATGAATGTTGAATTTCAACTCAAGCAGACTTATACATTTAAATGTACTCTTTCTCATCCAGTTCGCAAGGGCATATATCATTTTTTATCCAATACAATGCTCCCAAAAATGAAAATGTCCCTCCAGTTTATACTAACTGCTAGCATCTAGCCATAGCACGTTGCTTGGATAATTACTCAACAACCAAACAACAATCATTATACTCGTAAGAAATGTGTAGATTAATTAAAAAGCTCAAAACAAAGATGAAAATAAATTTGATCACTGCATTATTTAGATCATGAAACAACTCGGCATAAACAGTGGCATGAATAATAATCATTATTATTATTACTACAACTACTCATTTTTTAAAATTATTTGTTATTAAAATATTCATAATTAAATAGTTCATAAGTTGTTATTAATAATTTAATAATTCATAAGTCTTGTTTGAATACTTATCATAAATATCATTTTGTTATTGAGTCAAAAATAGAAAAAAATAAATAATACAGAAATAAATAAACAAATAAATAAATAAAATACAGAAGTTAAAAAAATAAACTTAACTTCTGTTATCCATATAATTTATCGGACATAAACATGGCATTAATTATATTAGATAATAATATTGTTATATTCAAATTATTATATTAGAATATTAATAATGTACACAAATTAATACAAATAAAACAGAAGTAAAAAAAAACAATATCCATTCTCCATATCAGTTATCAGACATAAACATGGCATCAATCATATAAGCTAAAAATATTATTATATTAGAATTAGTATATTAGAATATTCATAATGCATAATATTATTAAAATAAAACAGAAGTGAAAACAATTAAATCTAACAGTTATCAGTCACAAAAATGATCTAGTAATAATCATGAAATCTCCATATCAGTTATCAGACATAATCATGGCCTTAGTTATATTAGACAATAATGTTATTATATTGGAATATTAATAAAAGCACACAAATTAATACAAATAAAACAAAAGTTAAAAAAAACAACAACAACAACAACTATTCTCCATATCAGTTATCAGGCACAAAAATGATCTATTAACAATCATAAAATGTAATCATAGTTGAGCTCTATACTTTAATAGTAATTGTGTTAATAATTACAATTATTTTTTAATTATAAAATGTATAAATTAAATTTATAAATTTAAAAAAAATGTATTTAAAATAATTAAATAATACTCTTTTTAAATTTTTTTGAGAATGATAAACAATATATTATGAAATAAAACTAGCAGATCACATTTAAATAAGTTCCAGTGAAGTCCAGACCAGCATAAACTGTAAGCATTTAAACTGTAAATACATTTAAAGATCAAAAATTCTGCAATTCAGCAAACCCCTGTAATTCTTAGTTAGTAATAAAACGGAAATAAAACACTTCTGCCTGTGACCAACATTAAGGAAGTCCAGAGAAAGGCTTTATTCAAAGCACAACGTCAAGATCAAACAAACGTCTAATGACTTTCTGGAACGTCAAATACGGCTGAAAACGGAACAGTCGCTCGACGAGGATCATTCATAATCCTGTTATCACATCACATGATCCGCCCGCTGGAATGTGAACGTGGGCTGAACGCAGAGTGTTATTCATCTCCCGCTCTGAGCCTGGGTCATCAAAGCGCAGCTCCAGAGGAGCCGACGGGACGGTGCACCTGACCGCGCTCTGGCATGCGGAGGAGGAGAATCTGGACAAAGGCAATTAACAGCATGTGACCGTCCCGCTTAGGACAGCCCCAGCATCCAAACTCCACTATTCCTCCATAAACAGATGAAAAGTGCTTAGAAACGTCACCAAAACCACAAGAATTACACTGTCAACTAGAACAATGAAACAAACTCTTGAGTATTAAATGACTCATATTTGTTGTTTCCAGCTTCTGTATCACAGAATAACAATTTTCAGAACAATGCAAGACTGAATTAACCATTGATAAGATAGGAGGTAATATTCAACAAATTGTTGTATTAAAAGCTAATTAAATGTTAAATCTGACCCAAAATATTCTAATAAAATGCTTGATTTTGTCAAACTTTAAAATTCAAATCATATTTATTTAGGCAAGCATCACTATTACTATTCACTTTTATTAGTTAGTAGTTTGCTTGCTATTTATTTATTTTCAGATTTCAAAACAAAATTTTGGGGGATTTGCATAAACATAATGGAATAAATAATGACAATAATAATTTAAAAAATGTCATGTCTATTGATATAGTATAATAATCATTTACTTAAAATCAGTTCTATATCTCTGTTATTGCAGAAAAAAATCTGCATTGTAAATAAAAACTTAAATAATACAATAATTAAATAATATACTTATAATATAATATAACTTAACATAATGTAATATAATAATATAATATAACTTAAATAATAATAATAATAATAATAATGAAAGTTTTATGAAAAGTATAATGCAATATTACATATTAATATATAAACCATTATTATTTCAAACAAAAATGCATTTTAATAAACAAAAATATAAAATAAATGTAAATTTTAAATGTATTTTTGTGCAGTAACCTAGAACTAATTATTTAATTGTATACTTTTTTTTTTTTACAATAACAATTATTATACTATAAGAACAGACAGATGCATTGTGATTATTTTAATTTATTATTATGTACTGCCAATAGATAATAATAATAATAATAATTTTTCATGAATTGTAGTATTGTTAAATAATATAACTTATTCTTATAAAATAAATTATTTTTAAATAATAAAATAAAAAATAAATGTATTATAAACAAATTTATTGTTAAATCAGAACCAAAACATATTTAAAGGAATGCTATGATTGTGAAACTATATTTCATCACTATTACTATATAAATGTTTAATTGTTTTATTTTTTAGGTTGTAACCTACTTTTTTAACTTGCCAGGCTTACAATTTTTGTCTGGTGGACAATAAAAACTAGCAAACAACAAGAACCAACACTCAGAACACCCTAGTAACCACATAACAACCAGCCAGAACACCCTAGCAACCACATAACAACCAGCCAGAACACCCTAGCAACCACATAACAACCAGCAAGAACACCCTAGCAACTCATTCTAGTAGTAACTTGACGTCATTATTGATTAGCTGGGTCTTACGTTGTAATGTTTAACTAACGTGTTAAATATTTTTGCTACAAACAATCAACTCAATGTATTGCAATTAGCCAAATGAACGACTATGATAAATAAATGAACGAGTATGATGAATAAATCAACGTGTATGAAAAATAAAACGTCTGTGAGTGTGACTGAAGTTCCTCAAGTCCTGCATAACACTGACCTGGTTGACTAGCCAATGAAACTCAACACAATGGCCCCTAAGCTGACCTCAGAGCCAGCAACTGAGCCAGCCTTCAGTTATTTGAACGCAACTGTCAGTTATAAGGTTAAAAAGAGCCACCTGTAGCTGAACATTTACCTACGCGACGTAAAAAAGCAGCCGTTTGTAGAAGAGTTTGAACGTGTTTTAGCGCTCAGTGTTTATTAGCTCTGTTAGCAAACACCTGTTGCTCTGAACTAACTCACCGTTTATGACGCCGTTGACGCCTGTTACAAGCTCATCACCTCAGACATCACTCTGGTTTCTATGACAGCCGCACAAAAACACACAACACATCACCTGGCAACCTAAAAAAAAAAAAAAAGCAGCGACAATCGCGATTGCTGGATGTAGATTGACTGTCCCAGCAGCACTGCGCCGCGCGGGATTATGGGACATGAGGCGCATTCCACAGGCTGAGTCCCACATTTAAAGCGACAGGCGCGATTTTGGAGTGGATTGGATTTTCAATGTGTTTGTGAGTCAATAAATAATAAAATAAATAGTAATAATATTTAACATAAATATAAAAAACATTAAAAAATGTATTTCATAATTTTAATCTTCTATACATCTTCATATATTTTAATGAATCATGAATGAAAATCTGTTCATCCATCCATCATTTTATCCATTCACAAAAAGATAACTGTAAAAAGGGGGAAAATATGTAAACAAAGGAATTGTTTGTTTGTGTGTAACCAAACAAACGAACGAACGAATGAATGAATGAATGAATGAATGTGATCCATGCAGGGTTTGGGGGATTTACTTTCTAGAATATATACATTATAAATATATCAACATTCATATATTTTCACATATTTCCATTAGTCATAACTGGATAAGATTTTAAAAACAAGTTTCAGTTTCTAAAAATATAGTTATATCTATTCAGCCAACCATCCATCTGTCATTGTATCAATTCACCAATGTAGATAAGTATTTAAAAAAGGAAAAAAATATGGGAAAATTATGAAAAAAAAATACACATAGAAATTGTTTTTGGTGTGGAAAAAAAATGTGATCCTTATATGGATATTGGGACTTACTTTATATTTTTTATGTTGTAATATAAATATTAAATACAAAGCACACATATAAAATATAAATATATAAATATACTTTCATTCTATCTACCAATATAGATCACTAAAATATGGGAAAACATATTAAAAATAAATATAGGATTTTTATTTAATTGTAAAGAAACAAATAAATAAATATTGATCCAATGTGATCCTTGTATGGTTTTGGGGATTTTCTTAAAAATATTTAATTTTTTCTGTTATAGTAGCCTATAAATATAAAATGCAAAATATACATATAGCTGCAATACATTTCCACTGTTATAACATCCATCAGAAGTCAGTTGATGGCATATGCTGGTGCATTAGTGATCTAGTGTAATGTTTCAATGTCAAATTAGTGATTACTTTATGTCTCCTGTAATAAACTTGAACTGGTGAATGATCATGACTGTTTAAAGAGAGAATCCCTCCTCTGAAGCCTGAAGTCTAAGGAGATACATCAGCACGACTTGTTTAATAAGCAGTGCCACGCAAAGAGTCATATATAATATTTCCAAGTCGCCGCCAAATGGCTTTACATTTACAGCTTGGACTTGATGAGTGTGCTTTTGTCACTCTGAATAAACACATGATATGAGTCACTCTTGAGACATGCACACTGTCCAGGAGACACCACACATACCAACAAATATGAACAAATAAATAAATAAATATATATATATATATATATATATAATTTAAGATTCAAAGAATTAAGGTGGAAATATGCAAAAATAAATGTACTCTAAAAAAATCTATTTTTAGTGTTCTTATTTGAAAGAATAGAATATGAGGGGATTTCCCACAGCATTAAGGGCCTTGAAGTAATGGAGCATAACAAACAAATGAATTACAGCAACACTTTTGTTTCTCCTTTTCTGTAAAGTCTCTCGCCAAGCCGACATTGACAAAGCATTGAATATAAAAAGAAGGTTTCCTAAAATAGGGAAATAAACAGTCAACAAATGAACTCATAGTTTCCAAATAAGCATCTTCAGGGACTTGACTTGAAGTAACACTAATGGTAAACACCAATGTAGTGCTGAATTACCGATCAGGATATCTTGTAACTCATTGATTCTTAAAGGGACAGATCTCCTGAACATGAATATTATAGCATTCCAAACCCATATAAACTTTTCTCTTAAGTAGGACACAAAAGGAGAATTTCTGAAGAATATCCAGGCTGCTATTTTCCATACAATGAAAGTGAATGGGGACTGGGGCTCACAAGTTCCACAATGACAAATAACACCAGCAAAGCAGTCTAATTTTCTTAAATCTAGGTCTGTTCCTTTCACAACTTAACATATGGCTTCAAAAGACTTGGAATATAGTCATTTAGACTATGTTTATTACACTTTAATGCTTCTTTTGAGCTTGACAACTCCAGTCCTCATCGTCTTGTATATATATATGTATCTATTTATCATTTGTGTATCTATCTATCTATCTATCTATCTATCTATCTATCTATCATCTGTGTATCTATCTATCTATCTATCTATCTATCTATCATCTGTCTATCTATCTATCTATCATCTGTGTATCTATTTATCATTTGTGTATCTATCTATCATTTGTGTATCTATCTATCTATCTATCTATCTGTTTGTATTTAATTTAATTCAGTTTAATCGCATCCAAAATAGACATTTTTGTTTGAAATATATATGTATATATGTATGTATATGTATATGTATATATTTTTATGTATATATAAATACACACACATACAGTATATATTTTGAAAATATTTACAATACACATTTATATATTTATATTTTATATAAATATATTTAATATATAAACAACATATTTTTCTTAAATATATACATGCATGTGTTTGTATTTATATATACATAAGAAATATACACAGTACACACATATTCTATGTAAACAAAAACTTTTATTATGGATGGGATTAACCGCAATTAAACGTTTGACAGCACTAATTAGAAATAAAAAAAACAAACAAAATAAACAATTCTAATAGTGACCATCTGAATTTTGGGTGAACTGTCCCTTTAAGTCTCAAGTATGTGTTCTTGTAAACTCCCTCTGTCACTAGAAACCTGATAAAATCAAACTAGTTCATCTGTATGCAGACCCGCAGTTCTCCGCAGCGCAAAGCGGGTTGCAAAACAACCGAAGCTCTATGGGATTACATCTCTCCCACAATTCTGCACGTGAACGATCATATTTTGAGCGCGCAAAAGTGCGTTTTGCACGCGCGCAAACTGAGTTTTGTGGAGAAAATGTTTGTCTCGCAAAAAAAAAAGTATTTAGAGGGCACGAAAATCAATTTTGCATTTAAAATACGTTTTTGGATGTGTGCAGACCTTCTCTTTTGCGCGTGCAACGTTTCACTGGCTTGCTCACCTGATGCCCGCCCCTCAGTGCTCTCTAAATGCCAACAGCTCGCTTGCTCAACACAACCCAGCGTTACAATGTGCCATAATTCCAGCCAATCAGAGACGAGGCTGAATATAAGGCGTTTTTCACTTACAGCCTTCATGAACAATAATATATAGATTATAAGTGATTAAATACAAGATTAATAGTAGTTATTAAGATTGATGTGCAGAGATCTAAGCCTATAAAGCTGGAGCTACGCTGCGTCACGTGACAGTTTGAGTCAGTGGGTCAAGCGCCTGATAGTTTATCACAGCTCACAATCTAGAGAAACCCCGTGAAAGATGCAAGAGCCCCGTGAAAACTGCGAGCAGCCTGGGGTTGACTGTGACATGCGCTGTGGTGGAAGCGGAGCGCCGTGTGGAGCAGGTGTTAGTTTGTGTTTTGTGGTCGTGTGTAACTCACTTAAACACTGCAGGCCATGCTTCCTCTGCAGGGTCTTGCTGCACAGTGAACATGTCGCCCAGGTGGAGAACGAGCCAGGTACGAGCTGGTGGCCGCTCACGCTGCGCCGCCGCACTTTCACACGCTCGCGCAACTCTTTCTCCTTCTCGTTGTATTTCTCTCTCTCTCTGCTTTTCTCTTTCTGCTGCTCTTTGTCTCGGGTCTTACCCTGAAAACAGAGGAATCAAGAGATGTTTTTAAAAAAATATATATATTGCACAGAACATACATCATGTTAGTACTTTTTCAGTTAATGTATTTTAATGTAATTATTCAATAATTTTTAATTTAATACATTTTTAGGGAAGACTGGATAAATTTAGGGATATACAGTAATTAAGGTTTTTCTTTATTATTATTTTCTTGACAATTAAGTCCATTTTCCAACAAATTATCAATACTATGATGCAAAATAAATAAACTAGTACTGTCAAATGATTAATCGCGGTTAATTGCATCCAAAATAAAAGTATTTGTTTACATAATATATGTGTGTGAACTCTGTAAATGTATTATGTATATACAAATACACACACATGCATGTATATTTTTAAGAAAAATATGTTATAATTATATATGAATATAAAAATATATATACACATGCAAATATAAAAAAAATATATACATGCATGTGTGTGTATTTATATATACATAATAAATATACACAGTATATATTACGTAAACAAAAAACCTTTTATTTTGGATGCGATTAATCATGATTAATCATTTGACAGCACTAAAATAAACATAAAAAATATACTAGAATATAAAGCATAAAGTACATTTGTTTCAGTGAATGTAATTTTTGCTGAATTTTAATGTAATTATTTAATTTTCTTTCATTTTAATTTATATTAAGAAATTTGTTGAATTGAACTGAATTATAGGGAAGATCAGGGATAGATACAAATTTTTTAAAATGATTATTTTCATTTATTTTCACCAAATTATCATTACTATGATGAAAAAATAAATAATTGAATAAATAAATACATTTATTTATTAAATTTTACATTGAATTTAATTATAGGGAAAAGTGGGGATTGATGCTAAAATGCTTTTTACATTTTTTATTATCCATTTTCCACCAAATTTACTTTGTGTGCATTTCGTAAATATTTTACTCTTTACTCTTATTTTGCTGAACTAATATAGGAAAAGCATATAAGTAAGTCCTAAAAATAGACTAACCCTAACGTTTTACAATATATCAGCTACATAACCAAAATAATTAGATATATCTGTATCAGCTGATCCGTGTTTTAAAAATAATTTGATTGATTAACTTATTGTGTGTTTTATTTTTTTAGAAGACGGTATACAATTGGCACATTGTCTAGTTCACTGATCAGGTCAGAACTTCCCCAGTAGTCTGCATGGGCGAGCTTAGTGTCTCTCTACATTCAAGAAAAGGAGGAAGTTGCAGAGTTGCAGAAGTTGCTGCGAAGTTCAGCAGAAATGGGCATGATTTTTTTTCACACAGTCCGAGCGAGCATGAGTGATGACAGTGTGTGTGTGATTACTTTGTCTTTGTTGAAGGATCCGGTCACGCGGCTCCTCAGTGAGCTCAGAGTCCGCTTGACTTTGGTGCCTTTTTCCGGACGCTCCGGTCTGTCCTCCTCTTCCTCATCATTTCTACAAAAAAGGCAACATCAAACCAATTTAAAATTCAAAAGTAGTATATCCAAAGTAGTATATCCAAAGAGTATATCCAAGTGATTATCATATAAAGAACAACATAAAAAGGTCAATGACTTACTTAATGGCAAGAAACTCGTACCACGTGAAATTCCCTGTCACCTCCTTTCTTTCTGTGCTTGAAGTTCTGCGTTTAGCTCTGAGGAGAATCCAAGATAATCATGATCAGATTAGAATAAATTCAGTATAAGACTCTCCACTGGCAACTTATGCATGCTTACTTCAAAATTATGCTGGATATGTTCGGAATGGCAAACTACCATACTAGCCTAATTGTTTTTACAGTATGCAGTATCTGGATAACGTACAACTTTGCAAAATTGTCAACCTTCCATTCTACCGATTGATTCTCCAATGCATTTTTACCTCTTTACTGCATACTTGACCTATTTGATTGGACTAGCAAAAGTTTTAATGGAATTTAAAATAATAATACAAAACCCTTATAGCAAAAAATATTTAAAAAGTACATGCAACATATTGAGGTGATGTGACAATGTGCATACTACTGCTTAAACATATCATGTTGTATACATGAATACATAGTGCTCAGTATGCAGTAAGCAGCATGCTAGTATCCATTTTTATGCTCTGAACAGAATACTACCATACTATTTCTGCAGTATGCACATTTTCTGCAACCCACAATGCAACATGTTTGAATAAACCTTCCATTTTTAGAGTGGCAACTGCATCAGCCGCAATTTTTAACATCTCTTGTCTTTCTAGCGCAGGGGTGTCAAACTCAATTCCTGGAGGGCCGGAGCCCTGCAGAGTTTTGTTCCAACCCTGCTCCAACACACATACCACGTAGTTTTCAAATAGGCCTGAAGGACTTGATTAGTTAGATCAGGTGTGTTTAATTAGGGTTGAATCTAAACTCTGCAGTGCTCCGGCCCTCCAGGAATTGAGTTTGACACCCCTGCTCTAGTGTATAATGTAGTACACTACTTTTTAATATACAAAAGGAAGTATGCACTCTAGTTTTCCATTCCAAACATACCCTCTTGCTAGTCTGCTGTTAGAAGCGTCAGTTACTGTGCAGACGTTTCATGACCTTGTTAAAAGCACACTCTGGTTTCTCATGCAGGTTTTGAGATAAAACAAGAACGTCCTAACCAGGAAAAGCCCCACCAGGTTTAAAAATACAGCAAGAGTGGTAAACACAGAAGATAAAATGCAGCATAAATATACGCAAACGTACACAACATGTTCAAGACAGCCAAGTGAGAAACGATGCTTTCTATGCTTTCGGGCCTGCAAACTAAATGTGGGCCACTCTGTTAGTCTGTAGGAGGGCACGACAGGCTCCTTCACACTGTTTACTTACCCATGATACTGCTTAAGCTCCTGCAGAACTTTCTGTACCATCAGCCTGAGACAAACAAGACACTGAGGCTAAGTATGTGTGGCAGTGGCAGGGCACACGGTGGGCCGCTGTCCAAATAAAACCATCAGTAAAATCTACTGCCTAGCTCAGGAGCAGACCACATCCACGGTGGGATACAATCAAATCACCCATGTTAAACAGACGAAAAGCTTGTTTAGATTAGTTCATCTAGATTTTTTCCCTTTAGTTCCTGTCTATTAGCTTTTAGGCTAAGCTATATGCTAGCATGCTATAAAAGTTGATCAATTAAAATTTAGGTCTCTTTCAAGAAAACAGACCCAAAATCTTGATGACATCATCCTGCACTACATACTTGTCCAATCAAATGGCTTTCTAGAATGAGAATGCCCCTCCCCCAATACTAGCTGCAGTTGCAAATAGCAAGTGCGATTTAGCTAACAGCTATTGACTAATTAAGAAAAGGAAGAAGTCTTTCGATATGTCCCACCCTGCAACAGGAAATACATCAATAGGACTGAAATCTATGCTTGTTTGTGTTTGTTATTAGAATAATTAGCATATACGCATTTTGAGGACTAATAGTTTTATGCAAATAAAACAGGACCCCGACCCAGCTATTTATACAGTACTGGTCTCGCTAATCCAGCTATATGCAAAATGCATTCCAGGAAGCCATCATGCAAGCTTCTTGATCGTCTTGACAGATTCCAAGGTCCTTCAGTAATCCTTCAGAATTATGTAACTTCACTGACTCAAAATAACCTTGCCATGGTGCTCTTAAACAAAACAAAGATGTGAAAACTTACACATGACTCCGTCCTTCCACTGACTGCAGCCCCTCTTCTGACTCCTGCTCTTCTGGAATTCCAAAGCAACACAAGTCAGGATTACATGTATTCTGTTGTTCTTTGCAGCACTTTAGGATCAGTTTTCTAAGCAAAAACGATATATGGCTGTAATGGGTTCTATATAGAACTATGAAGTTTCTATATAGTTCCCTGGATGTTCAGAAAGTTCAGTTTCTGGGTTTTTGAAAGTACCAGAACATAGTTTGTTTATAGAACTACCAAATAAAGAAGGTCTCCTTGGAAGATTTAAATGGTAAAATGTGTGTTTTGCTGCTTTTGATCCAAGAATTCCTCCTGACAGAATTAGCATTGGATTTATCTGATTGCTTCAGAGCTAGAGCCCATGAGAACCTGACTGGAGTTTTCTGCCTAACTGGAGAATCATTTCACTAACCTCCAGCCTCTCTGGCAGCCTGCTTAGAAGTCTCCAGTATGTGGGAGACTCTGTCTGCTTGGGATTTTTCATCAGTCGCAACGATATCAGATCTGGAATATATTGTCTTTGCTGGCGTGGTTGGCTTCTGTCGTTAAAACCAAATAATGGGAAAACGTTATCAATAAGAGTTACGGCATAGGAAGCCAACCCCGCTCCTTGAGTGCTACCTTCTGGCTAGAATTCCACTCCAACTCTCCTACACACGTTACTTTCAAGTAATCCTGAACACCTTGATTAGCTGGTTCAAGTTTGTTTAATTAGGGTTGAAGTTAAACTCTGCAGGATGGCAGCCCTCCAGGAGCAGGAGTGTGGTTTATAGAGCTATCTGAAAGTCTTGTTCTGGTCATACTAAGACAAAGATTACAATAAGGACAGTTACTGGTGTTTCGGGGATTTCACTTTCCACAGCGCTAGTGGTTTCTTCCACCGAGCTTTCGGAGAAGGAGGAAGATGGTAGATGGGGACTTTTGGCCAAACAGTGGACCTCTCTTTCCCCATCACTGTCAATTCCGTTAGTGTCTAGACTGAACCTACACAACATAACCATACATTGTTTACATACACACATACATCAGTGTGACTCTGTTACCAGGCAGAATTCATGCACTGCTCAAAGACTTTCTAACATCACAGTTAGTTATGGCAGTGACATTTATTTTTATTTGGGACCACTAAAAAAGTGAGTCTTACCTTCTTCCCAGGTCAATCGGTGACACTGGCACTTCCCAGCTGTGTCTACGTGACGTGGACATGGATCTAACTAATATAGGAAAGTTATCCGTGTCTGAGTCCTCATCTTGATCGGATTCCGGATAATCCTGGAATTCCTTCTGTTCTGAGTTTCTGATAGCAACCAAGCGATCCATGGCGTCCCCTCCAGTGGAAATCACAGTGTCGTCTGTCTGGAAAAGTTGATGGTTGTTGAACTCTGTGGAATTCTGCCTAGATCCACTTTCTGGTGTGGATGCTGGAGGTACCAAAGGGGCAGAAACAGGTGCAATTAAAACCGGATGTCGTGTGTCTAGTGGTTCAATGGATCCAAGTTGCAGGTCTCTGAAATATTCTGAATCTCTCAGAGAAGAGCAGAGGTCTAAAAGGTCCTCTTCACTGCTGCACTCGTTGCTCTCAGTCAAGAAATTTCTCTGTATGTAAAAACCCATAGACAGCTGATTTATCACAACAAAAAGGTCACATGACTAATAATATGACGTCTAAGTAAGTCACAACTAGTGTCATTCATGGACTGAAAGAGGATGCAGTAAACTTCTTGTGTGATGCAAGAGCCACTGGCTAAGTCAGCGGTTCTCAATTTCAGTCCTCGTGCCCCCCCCCCTTCATATTTTGCATGTCTCTCTTAGTTAATACACCTGATTCAGATAACCAGCTCATTAGAAGTGAGCTCCGTGCATGAACTGTGTTCCGATTGACATGATCCCTACACAGTGTTCATTGCTTCCTACTCCCTGAGCTGGGAAAATACGTTGAAGTTTACTTCTTCGGAACATTCATTCACATATTTGCGCTACGCCTGCAGTGTCTTCACACACAGACGAAACTTACTAGAGAAGTGTGACATAAATGCATCTGTAAATAAATACAGGGACTGGAATTGAGAACCGCTGGGCTAAGCACATAGTCATCGAGTAGACACGTCTATCCAATACAGTATACTGACAAGGACAATCCCAATAGAGGAACCAGTGGTACAGTACCTTGATCAAGCTCTTGAGATATTACACAACTCTTTTAAATTCAGTTTCAGTTTGTTCCTCACACAAAGCTATGATACAACTTCAAAAAGGCATATACATAATGATCAAGTCATATGGACTGATTTTGCCGAGTTCCATATATTCCTGGGTCAACACCCTTGACAGTTATAGAACAACATTACTGGCAAGCAATCAGTTTGAGGGTTTAGGGCTAATGTTGGGGTTTCGTTTAGGACTCGATTAGGAGCTTGGGCATCCTTCTTCTCAAACAATCATTCACCCAAGATTAAGAGTAAGGTTATGGTTAGGGTCTTACCTTGTCCTCCGGTGAACTGCTAAAGAAGACGTCTTCTGGGATGGAAGTCGGGGACAAGGATGAGGAGGAGCTGGGTGCTGAGACCGGGGCTCGAAGTTGAGAGCATGGTTTGCAATCTGAGGCTGAAACACAAAACAATCCACCATGAATTTAGCAAGGAATATTATCCACAATTCTGAACTCTTGATTTCAGACTTGCAGTGTTGCTTTTGGTTAGGTGCCTTATCAAACATATTGTTGCTGTGCACCAGACAAAACAAATTAAGAGTGGTGTGACATTCTGAATATCTAATTACATCATATCTATTGTGTTTATTCCTGTGACATAGCAATAATTGAGATACGGGTCTGGAGAGCCAGCGTACCCTAAATAAAATACTCTAAATAGCTACTGCCAGAACTTATCTGTGACTTCCATTAACTTCAGCACATTACATCAACACACAGCTGGAGTCAGTTGAAGCTGGAAACATTTCCCTGTAAACAGAAGATCTTAATCTGATGTAAAATGGAAGCACTAGTTTACAGAAGCAAAACTCTGGGTTGTGTTTGATAGTATATGGTATATAATAGCCTCCAGCCTGATGCTATAGGAGAACCCAAGGTTCTTCAGAAAGCCATCTAAGTACATGCTTCAAAAGAACCAAGAAATGCTTGATGTTTCCCCTACCTGGAAGCTATTCGCTGACCTGAAGAACATATGAACCTGAAAATAAACTTGTTTCATCTCCAAAAGAACCATATTACCAACTGTAGAACCCCAAAAGAACCATTGCAGAACCTGTATTTTTATAAATGTAGACTCAATGTTCTCCATCTTTTGAGATTTGCCAACAACTCTCAAGAACCTTTCTTTGGAGTTAAATTAAGGCCCACCACTATTGGGGTATTGCTTAAGTGACCTTTCCAAAACTCAGAGTACCTGAGTGACTAGGTGATTATGACAATAATGATATAGACTATGACAAAACCCAGACACCAAAGTCCAATCCAGAACCGTTCTCCTTCACCGACTGCCTGTCCTTAAACGATGGATGAATGAACTGTACAGTACTTTCTGGCGTAAATCATCTTGGTCCTAGACGAATGACAGAGTCTGAGAGCAGTGAGGTTGTTTGTATCCGAATTAGACACGTGATATGTAAACTATAAGAGCACCATGATGCTTGTCATGTTCAAATATCCTTTTATGGCTGCTGCTTCTTACCATATGCTCCAACATAAATACTTGAACAAAGGGGCCTCTGAGCTTTTACAAGGGTTACTGTAGGTCTACCACAGAAAACATTTGTTTTTTCACACACTCTGAGGTCGGAGCACACACTATTAAGACGCAAAGTTTTATTTTGGTCTAAGTAAAAGGAAACAGGCTCGAAATAGCCTAAACCGTGCCATGCACTGGAGTAGCCAAATCCCTGGAGGAAGTTAAAAGTTTGCCAATTGCAATTTGCAGAATTATGTTATGTGAGTCTTGAGCTTTTCCAAGAGGATTACAGGGGCAACCCCAAAGCTGTAAAGCAATTCAGAGCTCTATCAGAGAAGGTAATCTCTGAAAATGCACGCAATATTTGGAGCATCATTAACAGATGATTTTAAAAACAACTCAAGTACACTAATTGTGACTTCTGCTGATCTATCTATCTATAACTGTTATTTATAATAGACATACAACTAAATTAATGAGAGAAAGATGGGGAACAGAATCAGGAAATGTCAGAAGCTCAATGTTTGAGAGCAAATGTGCTAATGGCTAAATACTAAAAGAGCATTATGTTTTTTTTTATCTTGTTTTTTCTTTAAAGAATAGTAGAGCAAAGAGAGGAAATGACATAGGATCAGGAAATTGCACATCAGAATCAAACTTACATCACTTATTTGAGCACAAATATGTCTCAGAGTATAACACGCTAACCGCCTGGGTTCAGTATTTAAATACATATCCAAAATTCCTGTTTCCAATTATTCTGTCTTTTATCTTAAAATACAGTAATGACATAATCACACAGAACTGTTAAGTGTGAAAATGTGGTTTTGTATGTGCCAACAGATACAGTCTGGTCATGAGAGCTGCATGCAAAAGCTCATTCTGTTAGCAATGTGACTGGACCTCTTGAGCAGACCGCAACTGCATTACATTACAACAGTACATTTATATATAAAATAAGAAAAAAAAGTAACACAAATATTATGGCACTGCCATTTATTTATTTATTTATTATATATTTTATTATAATTATATATTATATAATAGGGTAGCACAGAAAAAAAAGGAAAGATGCTAGAGTTCCAGAAAGACGCAATCATGCCCTCTACCTCTTTTGAAGGACCATCGTTTCATCCATGAGAACGAGGGCCAGGAGTTGTGGAGAGGTGGATCTGCCATGTGGACGGTGTGAATTAAAGAGTTAGTGAACAAGATATCAGGAAACTAGAGTCCCACAGCCGGATCAGAGGAGGGAACCGCTGGGGATTATCTAACATATGATTCAAAGTCAAGAGGCACAGCGGTGGGGGCTCACAGTGAGAGAGAGAGAGAGAGAGAGAAAGGAAGCACCGCTGGATCTGAATGGGAGGGAATTGTGTTTAATACTACGTCTACAAAAAATGGCAGAGTGACGGAATCAGGTGGTAAATATCACCGTATTGTCCCTTCGGAAATTTGGACACTTCACTTTATTTGGAAACTTTCATCAAATCATAACAGCTTGCTCCGCCCCACAACCGACTTTCTTTTTCTGCTGACATTATCAGACCACTTATTTTTAGACTCCTCCCTTTCAATAACCTTTCATCAAAATGTAACAAATTGCTCCACCCCTCAAACGACTTTCCTTTTCTGATGACATCATCAAGGCCTCTACTTTTTAGACTCCTCATCTTCAATAACTTTTTATCAAAACGTTCAACTTGTTCCACCCCTCAAAGGACTTTCTTTTTCTGCTGACATCAAGGCAACTTCTTTTTAGACTCCTCCCCTTCAATAACCTTTTAAAGCTGCAGTCCATAACTTTTTTTGGTTAAAAATGATCCGAAATCAATATTTGAGCAAGTACATAACCAGACAGTGTCAAAACTATCGCCTTACTTTATCCCGATTCACGACGGTTATCTTATAATAATGTTTTCTAATTTGAGTGGTACGGTTAGGTTTTCGCGGGAAATTCGAGCATGCTGCTGCGTCATTACGTCACATCTGTAAACATAAAGAAGTTGTCCCGGCTA